AACTATCTTATCTGTGGCCTTATCAGAATATTCCCTTGTGCAATGTACTGCAATGGTTAAGGATCCCACAATTGAAGCCTCTTCATGCAGGTGATATAGTTAATGAGGAAAGTTCACCTGTAATGTTTCAAGGGAATCCGACTCTGTGTCATTGGAACTAGAGTTCCTTTCTGCCCCTCTCCATCCCAAGCAACCACTGAGGAAATCTGTTTCCTTCTTCTTCAACACTCATTCCCAAAACTTACTTTCCCACATTCCCATTTCAACACCATCCTCTCTCTCAAAATGGACACATCACAAACACAAACTTACTTTTGGCAGATTATACTTTAAATGAAAATCTTTTTGGCCTGAAGTGTTTCTTCAAGTAGACATTTGGTTTCAGGCCTTCCATTTCAATTTGTGGAACAGATTTCTATTCACTCATCAAATACTCATCAAGCACTCATTTTTGTGTCAAGCACTATACTGGTTAAGTCCACTGTGATAAACAAAACCAATGTGGTCATTGCTTTCATAAAATTTACTAGTATTTGAAACCGAAGTTAATCAAGTGAAAAAGCAAATGTTTAATTACAAAGTATAAGTACTACGAGACTATAAAATATTCAAGAGCCCTTTAGGGATGAAGAAGAACTCTACCATGTGAACAGGTGGGAGGAAAGCTTTCTGCAGACAGGAGAGTTGACAATAGCATTCCAGAATGAGCTTCGTGCATTTGAAGAACTGAGCTGAGAGCAATTCTAGTTGGGGGGGGGGCACGGGAGTCAAATGGAGATGAAGCTGGGGAAGATGTCAGGGCCCAGATCCTACAGACTTTTGTAGGCTATGCTAGTCATTTTGAGTTTTAGTCTAAGAACAGTGTGAATCCACTGAAAGTTTTAAACGAGGAATGGCATGATTCAATTTATGAATCAAGAGATTGTTGCAGAAGTTTATATGGAGACTTACTGGAGGTGGGCAAGCATAAAAGCAGAGGGACTTATGGCAGCAGCTCATGTGAGAAATGACAGCATGACAGGCCAGTCCCTTGCATAGGTTAACAGGATTGGTTGTTCACAGTTTACTACCCTTTTCCTGAACAGTGCTGAAATTCATTTTTTAAATTTATGTATTCGACGGTCTCCCAGGGTTTACAGAAGATGTCCACAAGTGGCCTTCTTTTATAGGTGATTGCCTTGATCATCTCATACCAATTGCATCCTTCAGGGACTGCCCTGTGTCTTGAGGGTGAAGACAAGTTGACAGAGACTATATACATTTGAAGATAAGACTAACTGACAGATGCATTGTATTTGTGAGATAAGATGGGGGGACGAGGGTGACACCATGTGATGACAGTACCATCCACCATGGCAAGACAGTGAGGGTGAGAGTAGAGAACAGCCTGGGAGGGAAGATTTTTGTTTTTAGTTGGGACACTGAAGATGCCAATTCTCCAGGTAGTGATATCAAGAATGCAGTGGTATATAGAGCCATCTGGTAGCAGAGCTCAATGGGTACATTTGGGGGTTTTGTGTAAAAGCTACACAAATAGATGAGAACACGCTGAAGAGACTATGGTAAAGGAAAATTACCTAAGATGAAACAAAGAACAGGGAAGAGTCTGCAAAGCAAACGGAGAGGGATAGGGTGAAGAACAAGAGAATCATGTCATGAAGATAAGTCCAATTTGCTTCTAGAAATATTTGGCTGTGTGAGAATGTGAAGGTAAATACACAAAGGCATCTTCTAGATTTGACAGAAGAGAAGGCATTGACCTCAACATGAGTAGTATCACTTGAGTGGGGTGGGAGAGGACAGGCTGAAGAGGCCAGTCTGGTTTTAGCCAATGGACCTGAGGATACTATTTAGAAATAGAGGTGCAGAAATCCCAGCAGGCCAGATACACTGATTTCATCTTTGCAGGATGCATCCGTTATAGCTCATTTTAGAACATCTCAGATAAGATGCTGGGGGGCATATCTTCCTCAACCACTTCATAAATGAACATGATCACACACTTTAGCCAGTGCTCAAGTTCATGATCACACATGTTAACCAGTGCCCAGGTATAGGAAAGAAAGAAAAGGAAGGCGGGAAGAAAAAAACATGGTCTAAAGGAATCAGAACTAAATTTGTGCATCATAGTTTCATGAACATTAGTGTTTGAACAAATGGAGAAGTGTTCTTCCTGTCCCCAATTCCTGTCACTTTGATGCAGCAGGTAACAGCAAGATATGTAAAAGTGCTGCCCTCTGAAGAAGCCCTAGGTTCTTTGTGGAGCTTGGCAGGCTCATTCCTGTGTGGGCACCATGCGTCTAGCATTGAATTAGAGTTCCTTTTCTCAAAAGTTAAAAATATTAAGCCATATATAATGCCTACCTTTGGAAAATATTTTACTTTATGACAGTTCACTTTAATTTCTGATTAATAGTCTTAATAGGTGGTGGCTTAAAACAGAAACTTTTTATTTCTCCCGTGGTTAAGTATTTAATCCTCTATTAAAAACTTTTGAGACGTCTTTTTATAAGATTTGTATTGGTAGATAAATTTATCTTCTAGTTTATCATAGAGAGCCACTGGAGATAAGAAAGATTAGAAGGAAAGAGAAGTAGGCTTTAGAATTTATTTCAGGTCAGCCAGTGATGGCTGTTTGTGTTCAGTAATGTGTCCAGGAGTAAATGCTAAGTATTCTGTTCAGTGACAGAGTCAGTCCCCATTGATCAGCATGGTCACTGAGCAGGTCTGTTTCACATGTTTTGATTCTATTTGCAAGGCAATCGCTTGGGACAATTTTCTCAGCAAACAGAAAGGGTAAAGAAACCCAAATTTTACTACTGGATGGTCCATTTTGTAGTTTTGGTCAGGCTACTTTACTTCTTTCTGCTTCAATTCCTCCTTCAGGAAATGGTGTGGATTCATTTCAGCCTTTTCCCCCTGTCTCAGAAGTAATTTGAGGCTAGCTAATTGACTCTACCATATGTGATGTAATGGTGGGGAAAGAGCTTAATTAACATGTGAAATATCATTACCATGGTCCTAGTCAGAGATTATCTTTGTACAAATCACCCTAGACAGACCTTTTGAAGACCATTTTCCTATATTGGTCAGTTGCCACTGTCTGTCATGTATTAAGTTTGCTTTGGAACTTTAGCCCAAAGTAAGGCATATTTCCATTTTCACTGAACACATTCACTGATTTCAGAATATTCCTAAGGTAAGCAAGGATACTTGAATTTATGGCAAAACCACACGTGAAAGGCTGACCTCCTGCATTTATTCCAAACTTGGACTGCAAGTCTCCTAGCTAACATGGTGGCTTTCACAAGAGTCTAATCAGTAAGCAGGCAGAAAAAAATATGATTCAATTATGTGAAAACAGACATCATAACCATCCCATTCCAAGTGGCTTTTCCCTTAGAAAACACATGACACCCAAGGGGGGGGTGTCAACATTTTACTTCATTTTATAAAGAAAGTGTTCTGATACTTGTCTAAGATTTTACTATTTGAGAATATTCATGGATATCAGTTTATGGAAAGAAGGAAGATAACATTGAGCATAAGATACTCTATTCAGATTTCACATCAAAGGAGAAAACTTTATAACTAATTTGATATTCTAAAGGTGGCCAGAATTACTGGAAAATTCAACTCTGCCACCCTCTTTCTCTCCTTATCTAGGATACTATCAAAGATACTAATTATAATCCTCAACTTTAAATTGTAGCAGACCTTTAGTATTCATGAACTGGGTACACACACGGACCCCTGATCACTTCTGACACCTGTTAGAGAGGCCAGAAACTGAATCATATCCACAAAGGCTGATGGGAGAGGAGAGTGAATCTATTGGCTAGTGAAGGAGGCTCACCAGCCACGCAGAGTTCAAATATGAATGTGACTTCTTTGTTCCCCATCCATATACCAATTTCTCAGAAAATTACAGTCTAGAATGATATTACAAAATTTCTAAAGGTCACAAGTCATCTCCTCACTAATATCAAGGGTCACTATATTGAATTTCTCTGCTTTAGTTTTGCCTCAAGGGTAATGTTATTGCTCAGGGTAGTAACTAACTCATCTTGGATTCCTAACACATCTCTTCCCCTACTTGGCTTCTGATCAGTGACTTTTGTTGTTTTAAGTCATTTTATCATTGTTTTACATGTGTTTTGATGTTGTAAATGTTTTAAATCCTTTTTGGAAGTAGAGTTTAAATGTTGAACTTAGACTTTCTAGAAAGAGCCTTTCATCTTAGATCTTAAGAGTCTAGGAGCCTTCCATGTTAGAACGATTAAAAAGAAAATGATATTTTTACCCGGAACCATGTAGACCAGGTTGGCCTTGACCTCACAGAGATTCACCTGCCTCTGCCTCCAGACTGCTGGGACTACAGGCCCTGCTCCATCACACCTGGCCAATGATTCTTTTTAAGAGCATGGTAGTTTTCAGATTAATTTATCCAGATCCTAAGATTATCTGGCAATAGTTCAGAATTAAGCTTTGAGTGACCCCTAATGGTTGAGACAGTCACTCTCCCAACTACTTTAAACAAGGCTCAGACCAGTGCTTCTTAAATCTTGGATCTCAACCATCTTCCTTAGACTCGCCTGGGTGCCTGTTAAAAATACGAACTCCAAGGCCCTCTACTGCTGGGATCTCCTGGCCTGCTCGCTGCGCAGTCTGTATTTTCAGATGTACCTGAGTGATCCCAGTGTATACTCGAGTTTGAGAACCACAGATTTAAGGGCTGTCAAGTCGGTGTCCACGCTGGGCCTGATACCCAGTCAAGTTATCGCGGACCTGGGCGGAGGGATGGGCACCAATGGAGGCGCAGGGTCGGGGTGGGAATAGAGTCCCTGGGCGCGGCTGGCTGCCCTCTTGGCAGGTGAGGGGAGTGGCCGGGCCCTGGCGCGCAGTCGGTGAGGCTGCCGGTCCCAGTCCATGGTGGAAGTGGGTGGCGGGCTGTGGGGGCCTGGCGCGCGGCCGCTAACGCCTGTGCTTCGTGTCTGCAGACGAACCCCACACCTGGAGTGTTGCCGCTGCCGCCGCCCCAGGCCTGCCGGAAGTAGGCGTCTCCCTCGAAGACATCCTCTCTCCATTCTCTCCATCGCATCCAGCCCCACCCTCCGACCCTTCCCACCAGATAGGCCCAGACCCCACTTGGGATATCAAAAGGGAACACGACGTTAGGAAACCAAAGGAGCTTTCGGCCGGCGGCCAGAAGAAGCAGCGCCTGGGGGTGCAGAGGGAGCGCTCGGCCAGCCCACAGCGCGCCGCGCGGCCGAGGCTCGAGGAGGCGCCCGGCGGCCAGGGGCGGCCCGAG